GGGTGGATGTTGGAGCAGCTGGGGCAGCTGTACGGCTGCGAGGTACCGCACCTGCCCGGGCCCCCGGCTCCTCCCTGGCCGCTGCGGGGCGCGAGGGGGACCGGGGAGAGCCCTGGCGACATGCACGCGGAGGCGTGGGGGCAGGCAGACCGGGGCTCTTGCCTTTGCTCCCCCGTTCCTCCTCCGCGCGATGTGTGGCTGTTTCCTCTCTGTGCTGCGCCTCCCGTTCCTCCCCCCCAAGCCTGCCTGGATACAATGGGGCTGATTAAACTTTTTCCTTTTGCGCGTGTCTGTGCTTTGATTAATTAGAAATTCTGGGTTTTTTTAAAACCCACCTCTAAATGACATTGTCAGCTCTAGTGTCTTTCCCCCTCCTCCCCGTCCGTAAAGCGACAGGCATGGCCCTCTATTAAGCCCTTTGCTTGATCTCCTATCTAGTATATCTTTCAGCGGGATCAGTCACTGCAGAGATGCCCAAGGCTGTTTTGCAAGTGGAGGGTTGCAGGGTGCCTGTGAGAGTGGTTAAAAACACATGGCTAGTGGCCGTGTGTAGTGCAAAGAGGATGAAGTCTGGTTTGCACTGTTCCTGAGCAGCGGCACTGATCTGTGTGAAGGTGATCCTTTATTTTTTGTTCTTTTCCCTATCCCCCACCGCCCTCCAGAAAGTGGGGGGGAGGCCAAGCATTCAGTTGAGACATGATTGATAATCATATACATAGCATGCAATAAACTGGCCTTGATCCTTTTGCCTCTAAACCTGTCTCTTACTGTATAAAGGGGCTATATGTACAAATTGGCTTAAGCGGTTTATAAAGATGTGACTGTGGCTTGCTGCCGGTCTTACATGTGTGCAGTGTTGCTGTAGACATGTTGATCATAGGCAAGGTATTAGAGAGATAAGGTGGGTGAGGTAATAGCTTTTATTGGACCAACTTCTGTTGGTGAGAGAGACAAGCTTTAGAGCTTTCATAGAGTGAGAGGGCGGGGGGGGGGGGGGAGCTTGTTTTGATTGATTCAGTAAATAAATGTTGGATCAATAAAAGTTATTACCGCACACACCTTGCCTTATCTTATGCATGAGTGTGAATGGAATACTGTCATCCTATGAAGTAACATTATATAGAGCAGCAAGTTTGTTTACAGTTTGCCTAATATGTTGCTGAATGACTATAATTGATGCTTAGCTGAACATTTTAATTTTTTTTTAAAAAGTAGGGTAATTTCCAACCCATTTCTTTCTTTAACTACATGAAGGAAAGCTAGCAGAGACACAAGAAATGCTGGTGATAGGGGAATCTGACTTCAGTGACTTTGTGGGCAATGTTCTTTAAAGAGAATACTTTCTATTAAGTCTCTTTGTATGTATGGACCTTTTAAATGAGACTTTGGCTTATTCTGTTTTGTATTCGGTAGAAGAAATAGCAATGGTTGGATATTGACTGCTGCCTTTAACATTGTTCACTTTGCTGGAGACTAATAGGTTGTAGCTTGGGAACAAAAGAGAAGCATTCCAGAGGCTCATCATGTTAGTGAATAACTATTTATACACATTCTTCAGAATGACTGGAGAAACAAATCCTTAATTCCTACTGCATTAAACAAAGATTAAATTTGTGTTTAATTACATTCTTTACTGTGTGTTTTCCCTCTTTTTCTGTATTCACAGAGATAGAGTGAATGTATTAAATTGGGGGATGAGTCTTTGAGTTCTATAGAGGCTGTGCTAACTTGGTAAAATATATAGTGTATACCGGAGGATACGTCAGGCTTGTCAGAACATTATAGTTATTCTGAAGACTGCATTTGTGTGCTAATATGCTCAGTTCTAGACAATATTTTAAGAATAAGCCCTCGTTCTAGAGAGCTTGCCACGAAATAAAAGTAGTAAATATTACAGCATTTCTTCTTTCAGTGTGTGATTATAAAGTCACTAGGATTGATGAGTTCATCATATTGATCTTGAGGTGTTACTTCTTAGCGATTAATAATGAAAGCTTATAGCACAACAAAACTGTAATAGGTCTTGAGTAGGTAAATGTGGGGAAAGTCTCTTCTGAAGACTATGCAGGACAACATATAGTTGTAGCATAGGTGAGTCCTTAGTTAAAAAGTCTTGCTAAAACATAGGTAAAATTAATAATAACCCCCAAAACTAATAATAACAAACTAATCCTCTCCCCCCAAAAGAGGCCCTCTATATCTTCAGGGTCATAGGTCCCCTTATTAAGAAATGTGTGTAACAACTTCAAAGATCTTAATTAATCTGACACATGGACTTGCATCATCAACTGGAGGAAAGGGGCAGGTGGGAATTTTAGTGTAAAACAAACCGTTAGAACTTTAACGCCTCAGACAGGATGCCCCACTTCTTTCTCTTTCCCAGCACCAAATGGTAAAAAAAGCATTTACCTTTGGTCTAAGAGGAGTGTTACCTGTAAGCGGAGCGCTTGGGCAGCCACTCGAGAGATTCAGATACTGCCAGCTGATCAGTCCAGTGCCCACAGCCTCCCACACTGGCAGTTTGTATTTCTCTTTGTGGTGCACATCTCCACATGCCTTGGTTTACATACCAAAATGTATTCCTCACATGGATGAAAAATTAGAGGAAACATTGTCCTCACATGGATGGAAAAATAGAAGGCAATCTCTTATAGAAAAATTTAAGAGTTAAATGGAAAGATGAGTGTAAAGATAAATGCTCTTGAAGTTTCTTGTTCTTTAGCAAACTCTCATGACTGGTTCATAATTTAATTAGATTTTTCTAAGAGAATGGTGTTAAGATTGTATTAGAACTATTAATTTAGATTAATGTCTTGTTTCCTACAGCTCTTGCTAGACTTGTTCCCTTATGGTACTATGTAGTGGCAGGGTACGTATACACCAACTAGACACCCATGGCTGTCCCATGCCATCTGACTCAGGCTCATGGTGCTTGAGCTGCAGGACTGCTTCATTGTTGTGTAGACTTGTGAACTCTAGGACCCTCCCACTTGGAGGGTCATAGGGCTCTGGGCTCCAGCCCAAAACCTGGAAGTCTCCACACAATGCAACAGCCCCCCAAGCTTGATTTGGCTGGGGCATGCGGCAGCTGTGTAATTGCTGTATAGACATAACTTCACAATTGATGTCCATAGTCAAAGTGCTGAATAATTACTAAGTTGTCAAAATATTAAATATCTATAATCTGGGGGCAAGTGTGATGAGTAATGTAATTTTTTTCTTTAAATTATTAAGTTTTGGCTTTCGTTCCCATATTGAAACTTAAACACTTGTACAAACTTATTAACTGTGAGCAAAAGCTGATTGGGAGGAATTGGTCAGTTTAGCTTCTATGAAAGATCTAGCACAGTTTCACAATATGGTGATGCTCAGATTCTAAAAAGATTTTAATCCTTTAGAGTGTCATACTTGCTGTAGAATGGATAATTTCAAATAGCAAATCCCTGGTAATGTTTCATATATAATCTGGTGAGGGACTCCTGCATTTGCAGTTTTCACTGATAGTGAAAGTGAGTAATAAGCATCCATTTTTGGTGAAAAGAAGAAGTAGGACATTGAGGAGTCCTTTGTACCTTAGTGCAGAGAGTGTGTGTGCAAAGAAATCTTGGCCTCTCTAATATTGTGACCCGGTAAACTTGCTGTCTGCTTGCTGATTTCCATTTGTTTAGAAAGAAATGAGTTACAAAACCAGATGTGTCCCTTTATTTGAAACCTGAAATGTGGTCCTGTATCTGGTTTTCAGTGCTTGAGAGAATGTAGGATACAGAAGGATATAAGAACAGGATTTTTATAAGGAGTTAGACTTTGCAAACCTTTTAGCTTTTCATTATCCCGCTTAATTTCAGGTTTCAGAGTGTTTAAAAATTATCTTTAGAACACCATTTTTTCTTCAGAGGAGTCTTTATAAAATACTTGCCATGATTTAAAACATACAAAACTTGAATTGCTTTCAGGAAGACTTCTCATATGTAAAAAGTCATTTGGAGTTATGTTAGGGAGGAAGGATGACTTGCATTGTCAAAGGCTGGCTATTTTGAAAGTGAACCTTGCAGAAACAAAGAAGTTGGAATAGGATTGACGTTGAAGCATTTCAGGTAAAGACACTCTGAAACAAGGTCTAAGAAATCCAACGTGATCCAACCAACTCACCAGTTTAGCTGAGCCAGATTCTCAGGATGACTGGCATTAAAAGCTCAAATATGAACACAACTTCAACTCCTGTTTGCATGAACTCAGGCATTTAAGCAAACTCCTCTATATTGAGGTTCTTATTTGTCCTAATGAGCCTCCCTAAGCTTAAAAAAACTCTCAAAACAATTGTGCCTCCTCCTAGTTTACGAAGGCGACACAAAGAATGAAAAATCCTATGCTTTGCAAGAGTAGGGGTATTAAAATAGATGTGCTTTGATCATTGTAGTTATAATAAGCGTATGTGTCAAAGATACTAATTTTATTTCATAAAGCACCTTTCATGTTACCTCACAGATCTGTTGAGAGAGAGTACAAATGACAGCAGCTAAAATAAAACTGTATACGCATTTTAAGAAATCATAATTCCAAACAACCTCTTAGTGCCCTGAGCCGCTTGGCACACAGTTTTAAAGATAGCTTCTTGGTCAAGTATATGCAGAATAAAGCATTAAAAAGAGGCATATAAGATCTCTACTAAGAGCCAGTAACCCATTGCTGGTCATAATCATTGCAAAATGCATCTGAGATATATTTAAGAAGGTACGTATCTGTACTGGCAAGATCCTTGAAGCTAAAGTATGTCCTTTGGAGATGACATGCCTTGGACATGCTCCTTTAAAGGCATAGGGTAATAGCTGCTTATTTTTGACCTGTCATTCTGTGTCTCACAATGTAAGCCTACTTGCATAAAGAGCCATCAGCTAATCTATGTTGTGAAATTGACAGATTATCACAAAAGCTGAGGAGGTTGGCCAGTTTATGAATAAAAAACAAAAGATTGTTTTTTATATATTTAGGGTTGCAAAGAGAGAGACAACATCTGTGGCTGAGGAGACAAGCTGACAGTATGG